TGTGCAGGAGTTAACAACACAGCGTGAAGCACGCTCCCAACAGGCGCTGCTGCATCTAAACATGTTGCTGTCTAAAAGGCTTGAGCATTCTCTGCTTTAATGTGCTTATGGACAGTCACCCAAAGGAGAAACATTGGCTTCTTAGGTTTAACTTCACAAAGTACAAACTCAGATCTGCATAAAACACCCATGTCCTTCCATTGTGTAAAATAATGAAACAAAACACAGAAACATAAAAAACAAGCCCCCCCTGAGAGCTTCTGTGGGATGTCGTCTTTGTTTCAATTTTTCCTTTTTCTTTTTATTCTCCAGTTTTTAATTGGATTCAGCATGATGAATGCATTCTTCCAGCACACTGGGAGGTACCTGTGCAAACACAGGTGTCTGCAGTGAGATTCATCTTATGCTAGAGCAGACATCTAAAATAATCAACACAGGTTGCATCCTCAAACTATAGGCTATAGTGTCTCTAGACTGTAAAGAGAACTTGGAGTGACAAGCTTCGATGTAAACATTTGTTCTACATTTGTCAAAGGTTAGATGAGTTGAAACTTAGCAAGTAACCAATGTATTTGTGGAAAGTTCCTCCCAGGCAGGATTAGTACTTACTACCTTGCAAGACCTTTTCCCACCTAATCCCAGCTTCCTAGCCTGACCAGTATCACCCCAGTTTTAATATAGAGAAACTTGCTGGACTTTGCAGACTCTGTCTAATCTTAGGTTGCCATCAGGAACTGCCCTCTACATAGCACAGTGTTTGATATCTGATGGTCCTGGTCTGATGACATTAATAAAAAGAAATGACAGGGGTAAGGTGGGCTGAAAAGGATGGGTCTCTGCTTTGCAGCATAAAGCAACAAGAGCTGACTGCCTCCATAATCTGTAATTTGGGGTCATTAATCCATTATCCATGAAGAAAAAGTTAACGTGTAAATGCCCAGCAGTATGGGTTGGAGGATGAGCTGAAGAGGCACGCCAGTTTAATTTCTCCCCATTGAACATGAAGCCTCACACAGTTTAGAAGTCCTGCTTTGTTATAAGGAGGAGGTATTTAAAAGGTGGGAAAAAACCTGACAGTTGCAGGTGAAAATCATGACCCAGAGGTAAACCTGGGTCATGATTTTCCTGTATGCAGAAGTAATTCTTCTGCAAGCAACCTCTATACTCCCCTGCGATAATGAAAAGCAAAGAGAGCTCATGCCCTTATTATGTATTGGATAGGCTTTCTAGTGCATATTCCAGTAAATATATTAGCTTAAGCAGCGTAAGAATGCACTGTCTGGGTCTATAATTAGTTCTAGACACATAATATTGCATATATATTCTATTTCTCCCACATCCAAATAAGCTCTTTTGATTATTTATTGCAATATGATTTATAATCCATAGCACCTGCTACCTCAGGTGTTAACTTATCACTATCAACCACTATTCAAGGACAGAAAAATGTTGATTCCTTTTTGCCCGTGCTCTGTGAAACTAGACTGTCTGAATACTTATATTATGGAAGAATGATAAGAAGCCTTTGCATGCTCTGCTGCAGAAGACGTCAGTGATTAGCTGTTATACAGGTCACACAGAGGCACCTCATTTGTCCATCACTTTAAAAAAAAAAAAAAAAAGAGAATTCATTTTTTTATAGTAGGTGAGAGAGGCTGCTGCTTTAAAAACAAGCCTGTAATAAGATTCAAGTTAGTATTGCAAGACAGTTCAGGAATACACAATGATTTTCCAATTTAATGCACACACAGGAGTAAATGAAAAATCAGGGGGAGGTAAAACTGAAGACTGATTAGTAGACAACAGAAACAGGAAGGAAGCCGTCTCAGGCATCTGTTTCTGGAATTTGGCCTTGGTGTACAAGGCTGCTGTGAAAAAAATCAGTCACACTCCAGTGTGGAGAACAAACCAGGACATCAAACTGCTACATTTTGGGAAGGACCATGGAACAGAGAAATTCTGTTTATTTGCATTTCTTACATAAATAGCTCTTGAATCCACATACTAGAATACTATTTCTTCTGAAGGACAAAAATCTGTCTGGCAACACTAGTTATCTCTGACCTTCTTCAAAGGCATACTACTTTTCCAACAAGCTGATGTGTGGGTGGAATATTATGTTCCTGTTGGAACTCTTGTACCATACGATACTTTTTTTTTTTTCCCCCTGTAAACTGGATAGATTATTTAATTTCTTTTCTCCATAACTGCAGTGAGGATGCCATTTTATGGAGCTGAAGATGACCTTAAAGTAAACTTATTTATAGGAATGTTATCCTACACTGAGCTTTCATAGCTACTGTTGTTAGCAGTATCCTGGCCACAGAGAAATATGAACATGAAATCAAGAACTTGTATTTTTCTTCATAGCTCAGTTAATTTTAACTTAAGATCAAAATCATTAGTTTCATCCTTAGATCATTAATCAATTTAATTGCATTAGTATTTAACATTCAAAAAACTTTTTTTTTTTTTTGCATTTTAACAGAAAAATTCTAGATTGTAAAAACTTGAAATTAACAGTGATTCGTCTTTTCAGACTGTAAACACTTCTGCACATAAAACACAAGGGACCAATAGTAAAAGCCGCACCACACTCTGTGTGCCTCTGACCTTTGCCATTATTAGATGAACACATTGTGTTAAGCTGGTACCACAAGGAAGATAGTAGATTAACAAACAGTGATGAAGGCTGAAAGTCAAGAGCACAATCAACATTCCTGTGGATATATGAAACCGAACAACTTTCTATAGCTTCTTTTGGTTATTAATTTTATAGTATTTTTAATGACCAAGTATATAGCTGGGCGATGAATGGCTTGAGACCAGCTCTGAAGAGGATTTAGGAGTGGTGGTGGACGAGAAGCTCAACATGGGACGGCAATGTGTGCTCACAGCCCAGAAGGCCAATAACCGTATCCTGGGCTGCATCAAGATTCTGGTCGAGGGAGGTGATTCTCTCTCTCTACTCCGCTCTCGTAAGGCCCCACCTGGAGTGCTGTGTCCAGTTCTGGAGCCCACAACACAAGAAAGACATGGACCTGTTAGAACGAGTCCAGAGGAGGCCACCAGGATGATCCGAGGGCTGGAGCACCTCTCCT